TCTCTATTTTTTGAGAAATGACGTGTTGTGTGTCGTGTCGTGTCACGTGTCGCATGTTAGTGTCGGTGCAACATAGTTGACGACCCCATGAGTTAGGTTCATATGGGTAATAACAAGTCACTTGTTGATCTAGTGGTGTAGTATTAAAATTTTTGTCTCCCCTAAGGTGAGAATAGAACAAATCTGCAATGAAAAAGAGGCTGAGCTAAGCTCTTAATGAATTTCATAGCCATTATTGGTGGTATATTAAACTACAAAGACTTGATGGAATTACCTATATAAGTGTGGAGTGGGACTACTCCGATTAGAATTATTGGCAATGATCTCTAGAGCACTTGTGAATAAACCAAGCACGCGCTTGGTCTATTAGTGCAAAACCGCATTGAGCAACAAAATTTGTGATAGTGTAATGCAATGGGTAAAAATTATAATTCACAAAAGGAAAATCTTGGTTCATAGAAGTTTCAAACTTTACCAATGATTTCATGAATTATATTTCATTCTTTCTATGTATGATTCATAACCTAACAAGCACCATTTTTGATGCATTACTCTCAAATGACCCAGCATTATTCTATTTTTTATTTTCAAAACATTTTAAAATATGTAGAGGATTATTGGATATTTCAACAATTTTGAAATATTTTTTAAAGTAATGGCTTTGATAAAAGTTATGACCACCATGCGGCCATCATTTTGTAATGGTTGTATAGTGGCTTTGTAACTGTCTTGTAAAGACTTTGTAACGTTTGATTGATTTCTTCATAAACTCTTCATTATTTTAGAATGGATTCTTTATAACAGTCATCATTTTAATAATTATCAATTGATTTATAACGGTTTCTTATCGGTTCTCTCTTTTGTTTAAATGTAAAATTAAACTTCAAACCACATTCCTTTAAGATACACGAGAATTTTCCTTTTCTTCTCATATCTTTCCTTTCTTTGCTAGGTTATACACATAACGTTGTTCCTGTTCCTTCTATTATTTTATGCGGAATAAAGAAGAAGGTCTATTGTATCATGGGAGGATAGCCGCTAGAGCCTTACGCGTCAAATTTCGTACTCCAATGGGCGGAATTATCCTTAAGACACTACTTGCACGCCTCATATATTTAATCTTATTTTTTATCCTCTTTTAACAATAGATTTTTCTAGCAAAATATACATAACGATTACTGACCACAAGCTATCAGATTAAAAAGAAAAGAACTCTTTAGTTTACCTTAAAATATATGGATGGAGAATTTCTTAATTAATTGAAGATGTTTAGGGACAAGTTTATTATTCTCATGACATATTCTAAGGATATTTCGCAAAGTTTGTCATAATTTTACAAGTCGATCTTATTGTACCATTTTGTGAACCCCTGTCGATCGAACAAGCAATCTTGACTACCTTGGCAATGACGCCGCACTATATTAACAGAGCCTGGCGTCCCTCACCGAACCTTTGCCACTGGTCTTCTTCCTCCCACCATTTTGGTTTAGATTCAACTATTATGTGATTCGATGGTCATTCTTCCTCCGGGTTTTTCTCACTGTTCTTCTTTTATATTTTCATTTGCAATCCAAACCCTTATCTTTTATAGTAAATAGTATACGACGAACTCGAAATATAAAATGCGGGAAAAGTGTTAAAAAAGTCATAAACCTATTACGTTGGTGCCAATTTAGTCTTAAATCTTTTTTTGGTGCCAATTTAGTCCTGAACCTTTTGTCTTTGTGCCAATTCAGTTCTTCTAGCTAATTTTGGTCGGATTTTGCTGACGTGGACGCTAGTGGTGCCATGTAGGCCCGCCGGTGATGACGTGGACAATTTATAATAATATTTTAATATTTTTTCGATTTTTTTAATTATTTTTCCTTTTTTCCTTTCTTTTTTTTTTTGGCTTTCTTCCTCCCTTTGCCGATGACCGGCCACCGGCCATGGTTGGGCGGGCTGCCCTCTCCCGGCCAGGCGAGGGCAAGCCCCGGTGAGGGTAAGCCCTGACAGAGGCTTCCCTCGTTAGATCTGGCGGGGCCGACCCTTGCCTAAGCCATGGCGGTCTTGCTGGGTGTCGCCTGCGACAAGACAGTGCTCAGCGAGGCCGTCCTGGCTTGGGCGAAGGCGAGCCCCGATGGAGGCTCCCCTCGCCAGATCTGGTGTGGGCGAGGTTGACCCTCGCCAGATCTGGCGAGGGGAGCCTCCGTTGAGGATCGCCCTCGCCTAGCCGGGCGAGGGCCAGTGGCCGGTTACCGGCAAAGGGAGGAAGAAAGCCAAAAAAGAAAAGAAAAAAAAAGGAAAAAAATTGAAAAATAATAAAAAATTGAAAAAATATTAAAATATTATTAAAAATTATCCACGTCATCATCGGCGGGCTTACGTGACACCGTTGGCATCCATGTCAGCAAAATCTGACCAAAATTAGCCGGAAGAACTGAATTGGCACAAAGACAAAAAGTTTAGGACTAAATTGACACAAATTCAATATATTTAGGACTTTTTTAACACTTTTCCCTATAAAATGCTGATTCAAAGATCTAATTGCGCACAAGAAAAGCTGAAGGACCCCATTGAACAATTTGCAACGGTTCAAAAATCTCCGATACCTTTGAACCTTTTCTTAACCTAAAGAAAACATCGAATATTGTTAATAATCCAGGGACCAAAATAAAAAAATTAGAAATTCAAGGTCGACATTGACACATCAGACAAAGTTTTTGTTATCACATTGTATATTAAACAAAAATTGAATGTCATGACCAAAAAGGAAAAAAAAAAAAAAAGTCACCCTTGTCCCTAGTTGTCACTGGTACGAGCATCCCATGGACCAACCGGGCTCCACGAGTCCGAAAAATCACATGCAGGCATAGGTACATGCATACTCCACATCTTATCCCTTATTGGAGTGTGAAAATAGAAAACAAAACCCTAGAGATTCCTAACATACGTGAAGACAATATCATAAAATTAAATAGAGGAAAGTAGAATGCGCAACTCAGCTGGTGAGTTCCCATTTTGTGCTTGATTTGAGAGCTTCAAGCTTGTGTGAGTTCTTGATTTGTGCTGGATTTTTATTTTTCCACTTTCGCTTTCCAGTTTGCGCTTGATATGAGAGCTTCAAGCTAATGTGATTTCCCTATTTGTGCTGGGTATTTAATATTTGCAGGTATAATTCATGGTTTATATTACATATTTTGAACTTCTTATGGTTTAATATTGTATTTCACGTGTTCGTTTTCATTGTTTGTTGCTTTTAGTAACTGTGAAATTTTTGTTGTTACCTTATCTTAAATTTATGTTTGATATGTACTGGTGTTCATAGTTTGGCTGCTCAATATCGTATTGTTGATGGATATGTAATTTGAAATAGTATGTTTGTCCTCTCAAGGAATACAAAAAAATAAAGAAAAAATAATCGATTAGTCCCGGGTTGACCCTAGAACTGGACCGGACCGGGCCCACAGGGTCGGTTTGATCCTCGATCCCAGGCTCAACAGGGTCGGTCCTTGGTTCTGAAAATTGGGGACCAACATTGTACGGATTGGTCAATGGGTTAGGTTTTGGACCAGCCCAATCCGGATTGCTCACATTCGTAAAATTGGCAACGCAGCAGAAGCGGATTGTAATTTTACAATTAAGTCGGGAGCTATAGAAAATCGACAGAGAAATAAACCGAGGAATAATAAAAGGACATGAGAAATTTTACATGGTTCGGTCCGAATGCCGAAACCTACGTCTAAGGGGAGAACTAGCAAATAATCCACTAATAAATCAGAGAATTACATAATTTATAATCACTCATGCTCAAGTGTTTCTAGCCCTAATATATTCCTAATACCCATAGTATTTAACAACTGAACTCGATGGACTCAACTCCGCACAAATCTCTCCGAGCTCACACCTCTCTGTCTTTGGAGCTCTCTCAGCTTTTCTCTCTACTCACAAATCTCTCCGAGCTCTCGCCTCTCTTCGTCACTAGAGCTCTCTCGAGTCCTCTTGGCTATCTTTGTCTTCAGATGTCCTCTCCGCTTATAGGAGAAAGGATGGGAAAACAAGACAAATGACGCCTATCTTCAGAAGCCATGCGCCTCCATGCAATTAATGATGGTATGACCATCATGCACCGACATAAGAAATGAACATAGCTTCTGCCTTCCCTCTTTCTTCCATTTATTATAAAAGACAAAGGAAGCAAGCAAGACAAAACTCTGAAGCAGTAGGGGCGCGCTCCAATTTTCCTGGGCATGTGTGCACATGGCCATGTGCATGCATTAAACGAGGAAGGAAAGTGGCCGTTCAACTCTTAGGGACAAAGCAAGAACCCATGGCCATGCATTAATGAAGGAGAGAAAAAAGTCAAGACTTTCATGTTTCCCATGTGCACATTCAATTAATAAAGGATTAATTCCGCGAAAATTCATAAATAGATATGCTTATAATAATTTTACCTCATATTAATTTTTTGATCACAAAAAACTCCAAACTGATATATCTGTGATAAATTTACTCTCAGTTTATTTCCATTAAATTTTATTGTCAAATTACTTTATCAAATCATACGCGGCAATTGACGGATATACCAATTTTATGTTTTACCCTCCGTTTGTCACATCCGTACCAGTCTATGATTTTTTGTGGTATTAATTCAGTTTAATAGAAACTAACGGAAGTTAAATTTGTCACAAATGTATCAATTCGAGATTTTTGTTGGTCAAAAAATTAATTTAGGGTAAATTTATCGCAGGTGTACAGTTTGAGGTTTTTTATAGTAAAAAAATTAATTTGGGGTAAAATTATTACTGGTGTACTAATTTGAAAATTTTCATCGTATTAATCCATTAATAAAAGACAAATATGGCCAACACTTCTTCCATGCGCAGAAAACGTTCAAGCTTTGCTTCTTCCTCTTTGTCTGCTCAACATTGCATTTTTGCGCATGACTTTGAGCAATAAATGCTCCACGTGTGCATCGCGTCTCGTATACGGGCTGAGCTCGAACTCAAGACATAATTTAACACCCACCCCTAATATCACAGGGGGAGGCTGAAGGTTGAATTTCTGCGTGCACTCAGTTTTAGCCGGTCTTTTTATCTTCTCCCTCCCGTCTTCCTCTCATCTGCTTGCCTTGCTCGCACCTCCAGCTCTCACATGACAAAGCAGCTCGTGCACTACGTAGTGGTATGAACATATCTTCTCTCTCTCTCTCTCTCTCTCTCTCTCTCTCTCTCTCTTATGGTTTCTGTCAGTCTATAGTTATAAACGTCAATGGAACGCGCATTATTATTGAGCATGCTGATTTCACTGCACGTGAGGCTTATGAACTCTGATTCTGCGGTCGCGGTCGTAAAGATTAGCACTCTCGGGGTTGACGCAGTGTCGTTTCTCATTCTCAGATCATCCCTTCTCCCTTTTTGCAGGTGGACGCATTCACTGAGACGGCATTCAAGGGGAATCCCGCGGTGGTGTGCTTCCTGGAGGATGAAGAGAAGGACGAGGAGTGGTTGCAAGCAGTGGCCGGGGAGTTCAACATACCCATAACTTGTTTCTTGGCTCGAGTAGCCGCCTCGGGGACGGACGGCTCGAGCCCGAGGTTCCACCTCAGATGGTTCGTCACTACCGTTGCCGAGGTGAGTTCCGAATCTCCATCAGCTTCTCAGCATGATGGACTTGCTCGGTAGTTTCTTACCTTGTCTCGGACTTAGCATGAATGGAAACGCCTGAATGGTCCCTCCCTCGTTGCCCAAAAGCACATTGACTGTTTTGTTTCCCTTTTTTAGCTTTCCAAGAATTATTGCCTAAAATATAGTATTGTTTTCCCCCATTCAATTGGAAAAAAATCTACAGACCAAAAAAAAATTATTGGAAAAAATCTTGGCAAATTGAACAATATGGCAAACGAAAATTCGTCACTCAATACAAAATTACGTAAAAAAAATGAACTTAATGTTGGTGAGTTACTTAAATCAGATTTAGTAACCAAAAAAAGGTTGGTAATTTGATCTAACAAAAGATGGTAACTCACTCTAATTTTTTTGTCAAACTTAGACTGTTAATTTTATACGAGAGTTGGTAAACTTGAAGGATTGGTAAGTTAAGAAAATTAAAATCAATAAGTTTTGCAAACTATTAAAAAAAGCCAATAATTTCATAAAAGTATCTAAATTACTTATTTGGGAAAAAAATTTTGCTGGTCATTCTTTGACTGGAAAATGTCAATTAAGGACCCAAAGTAGGTCTCTTTTTTCAAAAAAGAACTTCAAGTGGACAATGTTTCAATTAAGGACCCAAACTGCCCAAACTAGTCTCAAATAAGAACCCAGCTCGCCGGCCGGCCAAATGTTCACCGGCCGGCGACTGTGAGACAATTTCCGGCGCCGGAATAGGGGCAATTTTGTCTTTTTCTTTCTTTTTTTTTTCTTTTTCCTTTTTTCTTTTCTCTCTTCTCTCTTGTGGCCATCGCCGGCGACGTCCGCCGGCCTTAGGCGAGGGCCGCCTTCGCCGGCGTCGGGCGACGGCCGCCCTCGCCCTAGCCAAATCCGGCGAGGGCAAGGGCGACCCTCGCCGCAACCCTCGCTAGCCCAGGCGAGGGCGGTTCTCGCCCGCCCAAATTCGGTGAGGGCTGCCCTTGCCCTCGCCAGCCCAAGCGAGGGTGGCCCTCACCAGCGTCGGGCGAGAGCCGCCCTCGCCGGATCTGGCGAGGAACGCCCTCACTAGCCCAGGCGAGGGCGACCCTTGCCCGATGCAGGCAAGGCCGAGGGCGGCCCTCGCCGCAACCCTCACCCTCGCCCAATCCGGTGAGGGCCACCTCACCCACCCAGGCAAGGGTTGCGGCCTCGCCTGGGCTGGCGAGGGTTGCAGCGAGGGCCGCCCTCGGCCTTACCGGCGTCAGGTGAGGGCCGCCCTTTCCTACCCAGGCTAGGGCGGCCATGGCCCGACGCCGGCGAAGGCGGCCCTCGCCTGAGGCTGGCGACGTCGCCTGCGATGGCCACAAGAGGGAATAGAGAAAAGAAAAAAAGAAAAAGAAAGAAAAAGACAAAATTGCCTCTATTCCGGCGCCGGAAAATATCTCACGGTCGCCGGCCGGCAAGCTGGGTCCTTATTTGAGACTAGTTTGAGCATTTTGGGTCCTTAATTAAAACATTGTCCACTTGGGGTCCTTTTATGAAAAAAGAAACCCACTTTGGGTCTTTGATTGACATTTTCCCTTTTTTTGATATACAGTTTCTTGACGCATATTAAGTTATCAACACTGGAAAGAATATCCACATTTTTGGGCACACAATAGATTTCTGCTGCTTGGAAAGTCTTCTTTCCTATTTATTATTAATGAATTCTTCATATGGGATTGGTAACAACAACAACGGAGATCGGCTCACGCACATGAGATTAGGCCGATTAAGTGTAATGGTGGATTCCACCCTCCTTGTGCGCGAAATACACGCGTAGTCTCTTAGTTTTCTGAGTGGTATATCGATTTGATTGGGATCGAAACAACGGATAGCTCCTTTACTCGTCGATATTGAGTTAAATTTTCGTAATTTTTATGCAAATCATTGGAAGGTGGCGCGCAGATACCATATAAATACGAATCTCCTTTCAGGTTGACCTCTGTGGTCATGCAACACTAGCTGCTACACACGCTCTTTTTACCTCTGGGAGGGTGGATTCAGACACTATCCAATTTGTCACCTTATCAGGAACTCTAACCGCTAAAAAGGCGTCCGAGATTGAGACAGTCAGCACTTCAACATTACAGAATGGGGATGCGCTAGGATTCTTCATTGATTTGATTTTTCCCACTATCCTGATTTCAGAATGCAACAGCGAGAATGTGTCATCTGTCTCCGAAGTATTTGACGGTGCCTCCATAGTCGAAGTCAAGAAGACGGCAAAAGATGACCATCTTGTAAATTCCTAACCGCAGTCGAATCTTTCAACTTTTGTTTTGTTGCAGCTTACTGAAAACCTTGATTTCTCTTCATGAAACTAATCCTTTATGGTTTTCAGAGTCTTATTTTCCTTCTTGGGTTGATGAAAGTTTTCAACCATGACATTGAGCTGATTTGACTGGGAATAGCCAGGTGATTAATTTTGCTTCTTTTCCTTGTCACTTTTGATTTCTTTTCGCAGGTCGTTTTCTCATCGGGAAAAGCAGTTGAAGACTTGCAGCCTCAATTTGATAAGATACGAAGTTGCGCAGGGAGGGTCATTGCCGTAACAGGACTTGCTCAACCAGACTCGGGATTCGATTATGTCTATCGACTCTTTGCTCCAAAACTCGGGGTGAACGAGGTATCAATGTTCATTTGCAAGCAGACACAAATCATTGTAGTGTATCTAATTAATCAGCTGTCAAGTGATGTGCTAGAAGGAATTACCCACTTCCTAATTCTTGTTCACTTATTGTTTTGTCTATGATTCATCCATGTATTGATAAGACTGAGATAGCTATCCGGATCAAAGTGCCAAGGCTATCTCGTTGTCGATTTTGTGCCTGTGATGCAAAATGCTAACTAAAAGATGTATTTTCCAGGATCAAGTGTGCGGGAGTGCAAACTGTTTTCTGGCGCCTTATTGGAGCAAAAAGCTGAGGAAAAATGATTTCATTGGTCATGCTGTAATCTCTTTCTCTCTCTCTCTCCACACGCCCAGATAGACATGTGCGAGCAGTGCATCTGTCATTGCTCAACTTCTTATGAGTCCTTTTCAATAGAATTTCACGTGTTTCCCTAATCATCTTTGTGCATGGGTTGAGTAGGCATCGCCTAGAGGAGGAGGAGTGAACGTGCGCCTGGATGAGCAAAACCAGAAAGTCGTGCTGCGTGGGAAAGCTGTAACTGTAATGACGGGTTCTATTCTCGTTTAAAAATGCTTCAAGCAAGCAAGATTTGTCTCGCAAATGTGGTACGGGGCAAGATGGAATAAGTACTCTGGTCGTGTGGAATAAAGGACGTCAGTTGTTTGATACTGCAGAATATAGCAGAGATTTCACTTTGCTTGTCCTGGTAACCTAGCATAAGCATCAAAGAAATGGCATTTTCAACAACCATTTATATTCCGACCAGAAAAAAAAAAAACAACCATTTATATCGTTCTGTTTTATGTAACTGAGGGACAATGCATCAACCAGTTTGTCTCGTTTGTGTGCTATCTCTGTATCGCTGCTCATTCAGATTCCGGGAAGCTACTTCTGATCTATTCCACCTTTCCCTCCTTAAATTAGAAAAAGATAATGGCCCTTGTGGATGATCGAGTTTCTCTGAGAATGTGACTAGTCGAGGCTCGAGTTGAGGAGGAGTCCCACGTCTAAGAACGGTGAGATGGTTGAGTTGCTTATGACCCTGTTTCGCCGTTTAAAGGGGTTGAATCTCATTCCTATTTAGGAACTGGCATGTTGGCTTCTGTAAGCTCTATACCATCTCTCATCCACAGAAGATATGATCACGTGATCCTGCCTAGACACCATACATTAGATAGGAAGAACTGGTTCCTTCTATCGGTTTCATGCTGACCTTGCATTAAGCGGCTCAAATCACGTCAGAAACTTCTAAGAAAGCTCCTGATCCATCACCATGCTTTTATTGGCTTGTTTACACCAAAAATAGTTGAAGCGGCCGTCGACATGGACAGGCAAGTGCTTTCGGCATGAGCATAAACAATATGTTAGAAACTCGTAATTGATACCGGCAAATATCCGTACTAAGCTATCAATACGCGGTGATTGAACAAAGACAGGAAATCAGCAAAGTTTTTGGAAACATGAAGGCATAACTTTTAGTCAGGGCAAAATAATCGGGATGATAGAAGTCACCAGCGGATGCCAGGAACAATGGAGTATGAGTTGGAAACCGGCAAAGCAATTGAAATTGAAAAAGAACGAGCTAACATTTTTTAGGGAACAGTTTTTGCTTGAAATTATGAACAATTGCCGAAGATAGATCGTGGAGTAGTCATCGTGCAATGTGACCAAAGCGGCGGCTTAAAAGCAAGTTTAGAGCATCGAATTCTTATAAACAAAGGAACGTGAAGGTCAATGATGGGAACCGCTCAAAAGAATGCAACCATTGGGAACCGTTGAGAAGCAGCTACTTCTGGATCATTATAAATACCACAAATCATCCAACCGGAAGGACCCCAGCACAAATCGAAAAAATTTATCTTTATCTTTATTTTCTCATACTACAATTTACTTTTCTTAGTTGTAGGTTTCAGATTGACGTCGTCTATTCAATTTTGGCGTGTGTCTTCATCTTGGGTGCTACGTCGTCGATTAAATTCCGGGATCACCACAGAATCTAGTCTCTTTTCATTAAAAGCCGAAGAACCACTTTGGCCGAAAATATTTTGTCGCGGAAGAAACTTCGGTGAAACACCTTTTTGGCACGCTTGATGGGACTTTTGTGGCTAATATGAGGAGATACAATGGCATGAACCAGGAATCAACTTGATCCCAACAATGCCGGTGGGAATAACTCGTCACCACCACCAGCTAGTGAGAGGGTCGGATGTGCTGAGTCCTCAACGGCACCCCCGTTGACAGATCAAGCACAGGGCAAAATGAGGTGGTTAACGTGATGAACAGAGACAGCAGATGGAGCCCAGTCCAATTATGCTATCTGGTATGAGGAGGATGTTTGAAGAACATAAAAAATGAGGTGGTTAACGTGACATCCGGAATTTTCGAAATAGTATTTATGTGACATTCGAAAATTTCCGCATCCGGTAATGATACATAGACTTTAAAGCTAAGTATTATTAATTTAGAATCCAGGTGGACATGTAGAACTCTTAGTTGGATCGTAAATTTTGTGAGGCACGTAGGATGATTTCCCATGAACGTAATCATTCCGAGTTTGATGTGTTGCAAATTAAAATACATCAATTTGTACGTTAACATTATAACGGTGTTAATTTATTCATTGTCGTCTTAGTAATTGATGGGAGATATTATTAGTTTAAACTTTAGTTAATTAGTGTTAATAATTAATTATATACAATATGGTGTTATAAGGGGAGGAAATTCTATTTTCATTTTAATTTCTCACAAAACCTCTCTTAAGACACCTAAACCTCACGTGGCATTTGGAAAATCTTATGCATGGCCACATGCCACTCTTAAACTTGGCCTCTTGCACTAATATGACACATAACCATAAGCAATCATTGCATTATAGCATTAGTCACCAACACATCCCCACTTGGTGGTATATTAGATGAGAATTAGCCAACTGTGACTTCATGCAATCTTACATCTAACAATACCAAAATATAACTCTTAACTTGGGTGAAAATTCAAACTCATTTTCACCTCGGTGATATCATTCTTCAAAAGAAAGTTTCCTCTATCATTTGGTCTGAATTTCATTCTGTCAAGAGCTTTCACAGTGGTTTAAACTTTGGGGTCATTCAGATTCCGTTTGAGGTAAGTGAAGTCTCTAGAGTTAAGATGATTCGTTCTACTTGACACTTTTCATCCCTGCGCGTCCTCCGAATACACAAGTATCAGGAGGGTCACATTTAGAACACATTAATTGTGCTATTGCACGTATTGCGGTGTTGCTTCACTCATGATTTCACGAATTAGTGACTCTGGCCACATTTCGTTTTAAACCAGAATCACACGCATACCGTGTTTAGATTTAGTAAACCAAGGCATTGGATCTGGTTAACGTGTGCCGAAGGGCGCCCTCGCTGAAAACTTAAACGGAGAAGGAGCAATTTCCAATGCACAATAAAAGCATAATCAATACTTTTATTTTTGCCAAACCAAAAGGATAGAGATGGGCAAGAAGCAGTGACTATCCCCTGTAGGTGTTACCTTAGGAAAGTATCACACCTATCACGAAATGTTCAATTTAGGTAAGGATGAGCCTCTGTTACTCAACACTATAAAGGTAGGCGACCCTATCAACGGGACACCATCGGAGTACTGGAAGTCCACAACCCACTCCCAAACCAAGTCAAAAGACTACATTTTTTTGGGATTAATACCACGAAGAACCCCAAACTGATACACTTATAATAAATTTACCTTAAATTAATTTTTTGACTGCAAAAAACCCCAAACTGGTATACCTGTGACAAATTTACCCTCCTTTAGTTTTTTTTAAATTTTACCGTCAAATTGTAGAGCTGAATGACACGTAGTTAACGGGTGTATTAGTTTGGGGTTTTACCCTCCGTTTATCACAAGTGTTTCAATTTGTGATTTTTCGTTGTATTAATCCAATTCAACAAAAACTAACGGAGGGTAAATTTGTCACGGATGTACCAGTTTAGAGTTTTTGATGGTCAACAAATTAGTTTGGGGTAAATTTATCACAGATGTACCAATTTGAAGTTTTTTGTGGTATTAACCTTTTTTTTTTTTGTCGAAGTAAGAAGACTGCTTGACACAAGCAAGTTTTTACCTGTGACCTAGACATGGGAATATAAGCGCAAGACCGACTTAAATACGTCTGATGGTATAATTAATACTTCTTATAAAATATGATTGATGTTTCACTTTCCACATAAACGGAGCAGGTGATGAACAAACTTTGCAAAGCATTTAGCACATGAAATCCCCGGGGCAAAGGGCTCTTGAATTGCACCAATGTAGCACACGGACCTAGAGATGATAGAAGGGAAAAATACAAAAAAAGTACTACACATATTATGCGTCAATTCAATCCTAAATCTTTTTTTTTTTTGCCAATTAAATCCTAAACCATTTACAATTATGTTAATTCAGTCCATCTGGCCAATTTTGACTGGAAATTGCTAACATGGACAACGATCACCTTATGTGGTACGGCCAGCACTGATGTGGATAATTTTAATAAATCTTTTTATATTTTTTTCTTTAGTTTTTCTTTTTTTCCTGCAGTTAGGGCTGGCGAGGATGTCATAGCCCTCGCCCTTTATGGGCAGGTGAGGCTATCGTGGCCCTCACCCAGGCCAGGCGATGCCTTGGCTCGGGGTCGGCAGGGGTTGCGACGCCCTCGCCTGGCCAAACCTGGTGAGGGCTGCGACACCCTCACCCAATGTCGGTGAGGGTGCCTCGGCCCTAAGTTAGGGACAAAAAAGAAAAACTAAAGAAAGAAAAGAAAAAAGAGAAAAATTAATAAATTTTTTGGAAAATATTAAAATATTATTTAAAATTGTCCACATCAGTGCTAGCCGTGCTACGTATGACAGTATGCGTCCATGTCAGCGATTTCTAGCCAAAATTAGTCGGATGGACTGATTTGGCACAAATGCAAAAGGTTTAGAACTCAATTGGCCAAAAAAAAAAGATTTTGGACTGAATTGGCACAATTACAATAAGTTTATGACTTTTTTGGTAATTTGCCCGATGATAAAATAGATACGGAAAATGTCGGATATTTTAAGACATCTTATTAAAACCTACTTATGAAGTGATGTGGCAAGTTTTAGTTAGGTAATTAAAAAAGTGGGATTTGTATCTTTCATCATTAGTTTCTTTAATTACACAATTAATGATTGTCACATCACTCACTAAAAAAAAGTTAGATTGTTTAGTACATTTTGCTTTGCTTAATAAATAGCGAAAATACCACAAAAAACCTCAAACTATGTCACTTGTGACAAATTTACCCTGAAGTTCTTTTTATGACACAAAAAATCTCAAATTATGTCATATTTACCCTACAATACTTTGGCTCAATAGCATTTTCGTCTTTTTCTATTTTTTTTTCCTTTCTTCTCTCTTCCCTCCACCGGCCATGGCGTAGGGAAGCCGGAGAGGGCAACCCTCGCCGGCATTGGGGTTGGGCGAGGGCTGCCCTCGCCGGATCTAGCGAGGGCGACCCTCGCCGGCGTCAAGCGAGAGTCGCCCTCGCCCTGGCAGGCGAGGGCCGCCCTTGCCCGACTCAGGCGACCCTCGCTGGCGTCGGGCGAGAGTCGCCCTCGCCTGAGTCCCTCGCCGACGTCAGGCGAGGGCAACCCTTGCCCGCCCAGGGCAACCCTTGCCCGCCCAGGCGAGGGCAACTCTCGCTCGACGCCGGCGAGGGTTGCCCTCGCTAGTTCCGGCGAGGGTAGCCCTCGCCCAACCCCAACACCGGCAAGGGTTGCCCTCGCCGGCTTCCCTCCGCCGGCCATGGTCGAGGGAAGAGAGAAGAAAGGAAAAAAAAACATAAAAAGAAAAAAGACGAAAATGCCCTTGGGCCAAAGTATTATGGGGTAAATA